GCCTTCTCACAAGAAAGGAAAGGGTTAGAAAAGGTCGGGCCTGAAAATATCACGCTTCACCTTATCTCACAGATTCCCGTCTCCGGAGTTAAGGCTCTTTAAAGAACAGAGCTAACACTTCAAAAACCTTCCACAAAAAAGCCGTTCGCTATCGGCCTCAAGCAGTTATCCCCTGAGCTTAAACCAGATTACTAGGCAAAACATTGGATTTAATTTACATTCATTCACTGAGTTTTTTTTTACAAAGCCATTCTTTCTCCTTTATGTCTCCTATATTATTAACTCAGCGACTAAATACTGTAAAACTATTCTATTAGACTTAGATATAATGTTCAATATTACTAATATAGAGTATAAGTAGAACAATAAAACTATTTACTCACTATGGTATTCATGCATTTAGTTGGAAAAAAATTGTATAATATGTTATGTGCTATGTTTATATTAACTTATATACAAAAAATGGTGTATTTACGTCACTATTGACTAGACTCTATAATAAATTCAGTAAAAGAGTTTTTCTTGTTGCTATGACAACATTAAATGGATAAGTATAATCTATGTACATGTATCCTACCTATACAATGTATAATTGTAGAAAATGATACTCTTTAATTTAAAATTAAAAAAAAGCAAACAAATATCACCATGAGTATCTATGAAAATGTTTTAAGTCATTTGGTTGTTATAAATCATATCAAATTGTTTTAAAATAGAAAATATTAAAGAGAAATTTATAATGTAATAATGAATTATAATGGAATTCAGAACATTCATTTCGCGCAATGTTGTATAGTGATTAGTAGTGGTATCCAAGATGCGTGTTTCATCCTATTTGGTACTCGTCAACTGAATGTACCTGCATCTCAGAGTTGATGTTCACTCTGAGACTCAAACCCAGTATTGTTGGCTTGAAACGCCATCGTATTATTCACTTAGCAATTAAATCCTGATAGCTACTAGTTTGTGCAATAGGGTGAAGTTCAAATTCACTTGTTATTGTTTACTTGTATCTTTCCATTGTTATTTAGGAGTGGAATTGATCAGTCTAAATCTATTCATAACCATTTTTCTTCAATCTCTCCTCTTCATTTACTTAATTTTAGAATTTGCTCCATAATGTAAAACAACCAATTTTTTCCAAAATGATTAGTTCTTATCTAGTTTTATGATATTCTTAAATGAATATTCAAGATTCTAGTAATTACATATTATGTGTTTTAAACAGAACAACAATTTTATGTTTTTGTCTTGTTTTCCTGAATTTATTACTGTACTCAATTAACTATTCTGTATACTAATACTTACTTACTTTACTTACTTACACATGTTACTCCCAGTGGAGTATAGGCTGCCAACAATCATTCTCCAACACATTCTGTCCTGGGCCTCCTTATCTAGTTCCATCCAATTCTTGTTCATTTTTCTCATGTCTATCTCCATTTCTCGGCGTAATGTGTTCTTTGGTCTTCCTCTTTTCCTTTGGCCTTGAGGATTTCATGTGAGGGCTTGTCTTGTGACACAGTTGGGTGCTTTCCTCAATGTGTGTCTTATCCACTGCCACAACTTCTTCCTGATTTCTTCCTCCATTGGAATCTGGTTTGTTCTCTCCCACAGTTGTATACTGATAACTAGGTTATATTTCGATAATACAATTAGAAGATGAAGGTTATTAGAATTATGTGATGATATATTAGCGTAATACATTTCGAAATCAATCTGATCACACATAATGTACTTGTTAAGATATGTTGTACATGAAGACTAAAAGGTCAATTAGACAGGTTAAAGGTAAGCCGTAACAGAGAAAAAAAGTACACATAAACAATGTGATAACCACTCGGGATAATAAATCATTATTACTAGAGTAGGTAAAGACAAATTGTTTTTCAACCCATAAAGGAGGTTTCAGTATCCGTATAGCCAAGGTTTCAATAAACGTCAATATACGTCCTTGAAGGCTTTTGTACAACATTACAAATGCTGACTTGATGTCAACCTTATGACCAATCCCAATCAAATGCTTTGCAATGAAGGATGATGTCTGTGATCTTATTTGACCATTGGAATTCATTTTTTTCTGCAGGCGTTTTGGTATGTGTTCAACAATCCACAATTGCAAATTATGACTGCTCCCCCATATGTACGTGTTCCCGCACATACATGTAAACTGATAGACACAATGGTATGTGACACAATCGATTACTTACTGTTTGAGCTTCTGGTGGAACATAGACCTTGTCTTTCCAGTAATGACAAGATGAGTTGTATGAAATGTCATATTGATGGCTAATTTAAGTCTCCGTTTCAACATGAGACTATTTTTGTCGCCTCTAAATGGTAACATAATGTTAACTCGCTTTTTGGGTGCCATGAGCGTCGTCGGTCTAATCGTAATGCAACCCTTCCAGAGGTTATGAATTTCAATGAATAACCATTTTTTCTTTAACGTTTCAGCCAAGAGCTTCGTCTCTACTTCAACAGTATCGCTAGTATAAATACGATTGATTCTACTATCGAAATTGCATCATCGACATTTATCAAAGAGACTAGTTGCTTTGAATTAAGTTTTAAATTACATTTGAGTGTTATAGTTCGAATTAGAGTTTTCCCGAGCTTAAAATTATGGACTATATTTGATGAGCCATTTATCTAACTTCATACCTGCTAAACAAACTAAGAATCATCTGATCGGTGTAGATTGGATGATGATAATGTTTGAAATGAAAGATATTAGGTTCGAATTCAAGTGTGAATGTTAACACTAGGATGTAAGCTCATTTCAAACAGAACTAAATGTATTTCTTTTAAGCTGTGAATATTCACTTCAACTTATCTAAAAACACTGAATTATTTCTTCTGGTTAGCGTTTTTTTAGCGAGTTATTTTTGTACGGAATGGGGTCGCTAACCTCATGCCCAACACTCCCCTTTTCAACCGGGGTTGGGGCCGGCAGTAGCCTCAGAGAGGCTGCAGGCGGAGTTATCAAGAAGACATTATAGTATGTTTAAAAATGAATGCTGACGCTATAATTCAGTGAGCGAATCCACACTATAAAATAAACATGAAACGTTTTCTTAATGTTGTTACCTCTTAATTAAATCATTGAATTCTAAACCTTTTATTGTTGACTGAAAAATCATTGTAACCGGCTACTTTGAACAATTAGATCTGATGAACGTATGCTATTATAATCCTTTAAATTATCTTTTCAAACGTAAATCATGTTAATTTATTATAAGAACTATTTACTGTAAACATACTCCACAAAATGTATATCAATATCAGTTTTCACCTAACATGAAACTTTTCTGTAATATCTAACAGTATTAGAGCTTACAGAGAGGAGAATAAGCTTTAATTCAATAGTTTACATCACTGACTGATCTTAGCTAAATACCAAGCTATAAACCAAAATATAATGGACAGCTGTTTCATTTTAGTCTAAGTTCTAGCCTCGGTTAGCCCGTCTGTGACTATGAAGCTGGGTGACACGGGATCAAATCCATCAGGCAGCACCTTGCTGACGAATTCCAAGTAGCATGAAGTCTAGGTCCAGGATTTCCTGTTGACTGCCTCCAACCATCGTCTTATATGTCGACTATATCTTATTAACGACATAGCTGGTTTTGAATGCTTATTAATGACTCGTATTTGTAAGATATTTTGAGCATAATATGGACGCCGTTTATGATATACCATTGAAATGAAAAGTATGTTGTATAGAGTTAATCACTCTGGGAATAAGATTTACTGGTCGATTTTGAACTCTGATTAAACATAAGGTTTATTGATTTTTAAATCAGTGACTGGAAAGTATCACGTTTGCTAAGAAAACTGAATTCACCTGATTTCATTCATTGTAGGATCAAAGAAGGTTGAAATAGTCTTCTAGTTATTCCTTGCTAATAATACGAATGTCCTTTTACTTATCAACTATCATTTTTAACTAATTACTAACCAATTAGGTTTTAATTATGCAATATTTGTATACACTATCACATTTTATTTCCAGAGAAACATGACTTGGTATTTCATGTCAGTTAATCGACATTCAGTCACTCAGTCAGTAAAAAGGTAGGACTTTGTACGTATGTACATCAGTTCGAGTTGCCATCTAATTCAGTCATATCAATCACTTATTTGAATGATCTGACGAAAATAATATCAATCTGAAGGTGAACAAAATATCTTTTTGATAGCTAGTTACTAGATTTATAAAAAGGAACCGTTGTTATTGGAGAATGGAGTACTTACCCACAAATAATAATAATAATTAAATAACTATCACTCAATATCTCGAATTCATTGACGGTAGAATTGTAAGTCAATAAATGCCAACTCAATGATTTAGAAGTTAAGTACTCACTACAGAACTTGAAGCTTGAGCAATCGATCCTCCGTGAAGACGTCAATCAACACTTCTGAGGAATTTCATATTGGGACCAGACAGATTTCCACTGGCTCCTTATTCTCATTTAGTCTAACTGCAGTCATCCTATGATATAACTTTCAAAATACAGTATTTATCTTTTACAATTGATTGGTCACTGGGTGGTGATCAATGTCATGCGTGTCTAGTCCTTATTAGTGCAGATCGAATGCTATCGATCATGTTGCATTGTGGTCACCAGTCTAGGTGACTCAACATTGCGGGCACTATATATTGAGATTAGATGTTGGTTGGAGGTAGTCGACAGGAAACCCTGAACCCGGGTTTCGTGCTACTTGGCACTCATCAGCAAGCTGTACCTTTAATCTTGAGGGAATTGGTACTCCCTGACGGATTCGATCTCGTGTCACCCAGCTTCACAGTCAGAGACGTTACCACTGAGCTATCCGAGCTGCGACCGACCTCCTGTAGGACTGAGATGTAATCACAATTGATTTATCTTTTAGATTGAAGTTAAAATTATGAATTTTCTTTTCTTATACGTATAATACATTTATGTTTACAATCTTTACTACTAATAATATTCATTTTATTATATATTTTATAGATAGTAATTTTGTATTGGGTAATGCACAAGTACATGATTATCCTATTGTATATTGTTCTGATGGATTTGTTGAATTAACTGGTTATAATAGATCACAAATTATGTCAAAATGTTGCTCATGTAGTTTCCTTTGGGGTGAACGAACCGATGATAATGCAAAACAATCAATATTAAATACATTAGAAAAGAAATGTGAATTACAGATTGAAATACAATTTCATAAGAAGACAAGTAAGTAAATAATTTCTGACGATATTTATATCTCTATTGTTGTTGTTGTTGTTAAATAAATCAACCATTGAGATGGCGGAAAAGATTTGTAGCTAAGATGGATGATTTTGATGAAGTTTTGCTCTTTGAGCTGGATAGTTTGGTCGTGGAGCTTTCATCGTTCTTCTAAACGACATCATCAGCACAATGAGAACCAATCAACGTCGAGGTGTACAGAACAAGCTGTGAAACGTATATGGAGAAATTCGAACACTTTACTTCCATCTGTAGTTTGTGCTGATGATGTTGTTTAGAAGAATGATGAAAGCTCCACGACCAAACCATCCAATTCAGAGAACAAAACTCCATCAATAAATCAACCATTATTCCTTGCGAATGAATGTTAAAAATGTTTGATTCCCTCTTATAAAAGTTAAATAATTTCTCCTTCTTTTCAAAGTTTATTAACATTAATAAAATACTATGTATTTACCATTGTGATTGATTGCCTAACAATAATGTAAAAAGATAGAAGGTCGAATTCTCACGGAAATCAGATCATTAAAAATGTAATTAGCGGAAAATAAAGGTGATTTCTACACCTATTTGAAACAAAAAAGAAACAGAATTGTAAGTTTTATACATTAAAACATAATAATGCAATGGATGAAAGCCTCAACATGTTTACATATTAAAAAGCTATACATATATCCCAAATAGTTGCTTTTACTGTTGTAAGCTAAATATACATACTTAACGTACAAGATCATGAATCAACTGAAGTTAAAATATATATATTCATAATGACATTTGGATTCATAGGCTGGCCATCTTACGGTCGAAAGTTCGGGAGAGTTCGCTCTCCCTCTCGAAAGGCTTTCACATAGCCACTGCCTTCTTGTGGCGTGGTTGTTGTTTACAGGAAGGTTCTACCTAGGGGAGTTGGAAAACGCTGATGCTGAACCTATGGTGCACATGGGCTCCAATATCCTGAAGAAAGAAATGGCGTATGAACCTATTGTTGGTCATCAGCTACCATAAGACTGTGTCTTCTGACGTTGATCCATTGCCTTGTGGATTAGACCTTTAGGTCGAGGACTCCGTTTGTGGTCACCTAAGAAAATTACTTGTTTCTGCGTGAGCGCTCGGGAAGTATCCCAGTCCACACACAAATCAAGTGACTTGTGTGTTGCATAAGTAATCGGTACCCCTTTGTACTAATATTTATATGTTCAAATAAATGAATAATAATAGCGTACTTACAACGAGCTTCAAATGTTCATGGCTTAATCTATTGTGTAGTCATATATTATCAACTTATTAATCAAGCCCGGATTTTATTAGTTTCTCATTTTATATCAGTATGTAAAATGACTTATCTATAAGTAGCACATATAAAACTCCTATTTTAGGATTCGTTTACTGAATATTGTCTTATTTTGTGTACGATCAGGATTTCTTACATCCATACGTTCACTTAAATCAAGAATAATTAAAACTTTTCATAATGTCACACTTTCACATGGCAACATACTTAGTTTACTAATAGTTTTTTTCGTAACTACTCGTTATGAACTTGAGTATTTGTTATTGAATATCAAATGAAAACATTACATGTTTCAATATACATACTTACTTACTTACTTACTTGCGCCTGTCATTCCTCGTGGAACCACCAACAGTCTCCATCCAACTTTGTCCTAGATAATCCTTTACAGTTGTTATTCATCATTTTCATGTTTGCTTCCAATTCCCGACTCAGTCTATTCCTTGGTTTTCCAGTGTTTTTCTTTTCCTTTCAGGATTCTTAGTTAACAATAAGCTCCTGATGCTGCTGTTTAGGGATACATACAAACATATAATTAGAATAAAAATTATGTTAAGATAATACAGTGCCCAATTCGTTGAACATGAAATTTCAATTTCATTAAGTACTACTTAATTTAAAATTGTTATGTCCCGACAAGAATAATGAATGGTAACTTTTGGGGTCTATTAATGGACCGATACTAAACGTATAATTATTAAATATCTAAACTATGCATATGCATATTCCTCTTATTATAAGCTTTATCTTGATCCATGAATTATAATTGTACGTTTTACCATTCTTGAGTTATGCTCAGTCTATCAATTACTATCTCCCACATTAACATCCACTTTTGGTTAAATCTTATACAAGTGTTGTTTCCTATTTTATTAGTACGATGTGGTCTGTCTGGTTTGTACATAAACCCAGTATGTTTGAAATATAATGATCCATATAGCAAAGGCTCGGATTGGTGTTCTGGACTTAACTGGCTTAGCTAGGCGGAAAACAGGACCAATCAAAACTCTGGACTGCTCGCACGTGTTTTACGCGTCCGTGGTCCGATCGTTAAATCACTGCTCTCTAATCGGCGGTCACAAGTTATAACAAAAATTCATCCAGTTATTATATGAATAAAATAATAAGAAATTGGATGTTGAAAACAGCTTTATCTATTGGAAATTTTCAATTGGAAACACTCAGTTGTTTATCTTCTGTTTTGTTTATATGCATATCTTATTATTTGCAAAACAATAAAGTTAGATATGTGACCGACATCTATGAAGAATGAAAACCTTATCATACATTCAAATACTAGCCAAAATCTGAATATATTGAAATTGTCTAATCAGTATATTATTATTATTATTACTATTGCTATTACTATTATTGTTATTATTATTATTAGCAGTAGTAGTAACAGTAGTGGTAAGAGTAGTAGTAGTAGTAGTAGTAGTAGTAGTAGTAGTAGTAGTAGTAGTAGTAGTAGTAGTAGTAGTAGTAGTAGTAGTAGTAGTAGTAGTAGTAGTAGTAGTAGTAGTAGTAGTAGTAGTAGTAGTAGTAGTAGTAGTAGTAGTAGTAGTAGTAGTAGTAGTAGTAGTAGTAGTAGTAGTAGTAGTAGTAGTAGTAGTAGTAGTAGTAGTAGTAGTAGTAGTAGTAGTAGTAGTAGTAGTAGTAGTAGTAGTAGTAGTAGTAGTAGTAGTAGTAGTAGTAGTAGTAGTAGTAGTAGTAGTAGTAGTAGTAGTAGTAGTAGTAGTAGTAGTAGTAGTAGTAGTAGTAGTAGTAGTAGTAGTAGTAGTAGTAGTAGTAGTAGTAGTAGTAGTAGTAGTAGTAGTAGTAGTAGTAGTAGTAGTAGTAGTAGTAGTAGTAGTAGTAGTAGTAGTAGTAGTAGTAGTAGTAGTAGTAGTAGTAGTAGTAGTAGTAGTAGTAGTAGTAGTAGTAGTAGTAGTAGTAGTAGTAGTAGTAGTAGTAGTAGTAGTAGTAGTAGTAGTAGTAGTAGTAGTAGTAGTAGTAGTAGTAGTAGTAGTAGTAGTAGTAGTAGTAGTAGTAGTAGTAGTAGTAGTAGTAGTAGTAGTAGTAGTAGTAGTAGTAGTAGTAGTAGTAGTAGTAGTAGTAGTAGTAGTAGTAGTAGTAGTAGTAGTAGTAGTAGTAGTAGTAGTAGTAGTAGTAGTAGTAGTAGTAGTAGTAGTAGTAGTAGTAGTAGTAGTAGTAGTAGTAGTAGTAGTAGTAGTAGTAGTAGTAGTAGTAGTAGTAGTAGTAGTAGTAGTAGTAGTAGTAGTAGTAGTAGTAGTAGTAGTAGTAGTAGTAGTAGTAGTAGTAGTAGTAGTAGTAGTAGTAGTAGTAGTAGTAGTAGTAGTAGTAGTAGTAGTAGTAGTAGTAGTAGTAGTAGTAGTAGTAGTATTTCCCTCCATATTTATATTTCACAAACAAAATTCATTATTTATTTGAACAACAACAAACTTGACTATTCCCATCATCATACATATATTAATATCAGAAGTGGTTTTGTGGATATTATATCCTGGATTTCTAGTGAGAATTAGTGACTAGTCGAGTTCAACTGGGTTTGTTATAAGATAGTAACTAACTGAAAACAATGGTGGATGTGTCGTTCAATTTCATGGATTAGTTGAAGTTAGACATTAACACCATTTGATGCCTGATCAGTGGTCCGGAGGTCAAGCGCTCGCGCGCGAGACTGATAGGTTCTGGATTGGAATCTCATGAATCGGGATCGTGGATGAGCACTGCTGAGGAGTCTCCAGTGCTTCCAGGTTTTCTATGATGTTCTAGCTTCAATTGATTCATGATCTCAACCATTAAAATATACATATTACTTAAATTGTGAATCAACAATTGAATTCATTTTGATGAAATTAATTTTTTTTAATCATTTTAATTATAAAACTCATTATTGAACTTTCCATAAGCAAATATAACAATATAGATTAATGTGGAACAAATGAAATAAATTAATTCTTGAGAGGTTAAATTATTAGGTTAAAATCTACAATTGTTTTACATTGACAATTAACTACAACGGTTATTCAAACTAAATGAATGATGTTCTATGCTTTTCATAATATATGATTGTTTAAATGAATTAGTTATCAATTCTAAGGATGAAAACAAGCATAATTTGATCATTCATTTATTATAACAGTTGAACTCATAAATTGATCAATGTTAGAGATTACCATGGAAAACCTGGTAGCACTGAACGGCTGTTTTGATCTAGTACGGGACTCTACAATAATGCTCATCTACAATCTTGATCGCGGGACTCGAACCCAGGAGCTTCAGTCTTGCTGGTGAATGCTATCCATCTCAGATAATGGATGAAGAGTTATGCAAGAGCATAGACCAATCGAAGTTAAGCATTAACACTGTGGGATGCCGGTCGGCTCAGTGGTCTAGGGGCCAAGCGTTCACCCACAAAACCGTAGGTTATTGATTCGAATCTCGCCTGAGGGAACGTGGATGCCTATTGTTGAGGAGTTCTATACTAGAAAGAAACGACCGTTTAGTGATTCCAGGTTTTCATTGGTGATCTAGCTTAGATCAACTCATAGTTTCAACAGTTACATTACTACAATCTCCACAAAACCTCAGTCTGATAATTTGTTTATTGATATATGAATTTGTATCAAGACAGATTAACAACTGAAATAAATTACCTTATTATATTCAAAATCACATTTCATATTATTCA